AATAGCAATGGGAGAGGACATTTTATTGGGATTTCAAGACTTTGGGCAGGGAGAGACCAAAAGCTCTCTAAACCTAGGTGGTTAGAGTCAGGATTAAAATTTCTCAAAACAGAAAAATTAAAATTGTGCTAAATCTTGTACTAACAAACACAATAGTATATGTATTAAGAATGACAAGGATCGTTCTCTAAGAACAAGGACTTTAGTTTCTTTTCTCTAATATGTCCTAGTTTCTTGAATCTCAAGAAAACTACTTTTTAAAATTGGAAATTAAATTAACTAAATTTTCAAGAAAAGATTCAGTAAAGAAACTTGTAATATCAATTCAACAAGTAAAAAGGTCGTTGATTTCTAAAGTCATGGATTTCCCTTTAACAAATTGCATCCCGTATCCAAATTGCTATAGAGCTTTTCTCACAGAAATTCAACGTCTGAAGCACTTACTGGAATTTTCCAGTTCCAATTGTCCAACTCCAAATCTCCTTTCCCAAGGTATTTAAATCATATCTTTAATGTCTAATGATGAATTCCCACTTCAGGTTATCCCTGACCTTTGAAGGTTTCAATTAACAAAATATCACAACCTTTTATTTTCCAATCACAGAATCATGAAAAAAAAAGGTTCAAGGTCAACTCCCACGACTTTTTGAATTAAGAATTTTGTTAACCAAATTGCAAGAATCATACATAGTAGTATTTTAAAATAAAGGATAGTTCCCAATCATGTAGATCCTCAGCTAGGAATTTAGAAATCCATAGCTACAGTGAATGGAAATAAAATTTGAAAAAATTAACATGCATTAAAACCTTATTCGAAGGTAAAGAGTATTAGAGTACAGACCATAAACTTCAAGATGCAAAGGTTCAGAAATGAAAAAATGCTTGCAAAAGTGGTACTGAAATCACAAACTGCACTTGAGAAACTGGTCTTCTTGAATGCTTCCCTAAAACTAGAAAAAAATGAAAAACTAAAAAGGCTCTCTATGTGACTTCAGTAAAAAAAATCAAATTTAACATGTTGAAAATTCCAAGTCCCTTCTACTTTGCTGTCCATCCAATGGTCCAAAATTCGCCACATCAGCAATTTCGCACTATGCTTCCCTGTTATCACATGGCATGGAAAAATATAAAAATTTACAAGTCTGCCATTATTTACTCAACCACCTTAATGGGCCCATTTTATACACTTTTGGTTCTTTTTCACAGCATTTGAACCATCAACAACCAAAGAAAACTTAAAATACAATTGTTTTTTTTTTTTTTTGGATATTTAAAATACAATTGTTAAACCATGCAAAATTCACTACTAACAGTTACTACTTGTTATTCAGCTTTTCGTTCTACTTTCTTTTCACATCCTAGGAAAATTGTCCATGAGACATTGCTCAGAAATGGTATGGCTTATGACAATATTTATTGCAAGGTTAATCAGTTCTGTAGCTCTCATACTCTTAAAAAAGTCTATATTGATGTTATTAAGCAAATTGATAAAAAGCTTAAAGATTCTCTTCAAGCTGATTGTACTTCCAATAGCATAAGAAGCAACTTTGCAAAAATGGAAGAGGAGCGTACAAAGGTTTTAATTGTTGTGGAGTATCATGCTCAAATAATTTTCCTGAATACAAGAGGTTTGGGATCCAGGAGGAGAGTATATGGTGCCTAAACACTTTTACCAAAACCAGTTGCGATCGACAGTCAATGTCAATGAGCCCAAAAAATAAAATACAAGATTTCGGAAAAGGAAAGAAAAAAACAAAAAAATAATGATAATGGTTGTAATAAAAAAAAATAAAACAAAACTAAAAATATAAGAGAAAAATGTTGCAGGAGCAAAAACTATAATATTTTTTTTTTTGGAGGGGGGCCAATCCTATATTAGGCATTGTCAGAACATAATTTTATCAAAGAAAATTTAGTAACTCTGGGGACATGGAATTATGCAATTCCACCACTGTATAGTTATAAAATGTGGTGATATACATATAAGAACAAAGGTACATCTATTTGTGCAAAATAAACCAAATTCTAGTGATCTTTGATTCATTAAGAATCAGAGTTTGGTAAGAATGAGAGAGAGAGAGAAGAGATCTGAGAGATAACCACTTAGAAGAAGATGTTGAGAGTTCATACCTTAGTAGTGACATTCAGCTCATGAAAAACTAAGTTGGCACACGCTAGAGCCCCGTGGTATAGCATATAATGATTTTCTGTGAATATTATACAACTTTCCCCCAGAGTCCAACGATCTGTGGGTATAAATGTTCATTGCCTTCAAAACAAATCCATATCGTAAAATATAATCAGCAAATTCCAGATCATCTCCAAGTCCTCGATATCCTTCAAACTGAACAGAGGTCAGGTGTGATCGAAGACAATTAGGAACCATTGTTGGCTGCGCCCAACTTTGTAAATGTAATGGTTTCTGTTTCTGGCGGTAAAAAGGAAAAACGACACTAATGAATGGAAGCAAAGAATATATTTAATATATGTCAAAACTTTAAACTTGAAAGCTCAACAAACCCTCCAGTGATGAATTTTGAGAACTTGAAGTACATGACATTTCTGAAGCAATTTTATCAGGAAATTTGAGTTGAAACATGGAAAAGTGATCTCTAGCCTACGTAAGTGGCAAAAATTCGGTAAATCTATAATTGGGGGACAAAGTAGGGTCTGCAAGACAACAAGAAGTTATATAATATACAATATTAGTACAGAATTCATTAAAAAAAAAAGACGAAGAAGAATAGTGATAATAAAACTTGACCTCTGTTGACCAAGAACCCAAATGTAGATATTTTGTTCCGCAAAGAGCTCGGATAAGCTTGTGAAAACTGTTGACAGATGCTTCGTCCTTTGGTTCAATATCAAGATGTGCATGCACCATATGATGTAAATTGGTAACCTTGCAATGAAAGGAGCTACTCTCATGGACGATATAAAGGTACTCAAGACGTGGCGCATCTATATCCAGGTAAGATTCCCAAGGAGTAGAACAAACTAGTAACTCCAATCTCTTCAAGGAAGAAGGGACGCGGAATTTGGTAGAGCATTCGGCAAAAATATGCCAAGTCAGAGTTTCGAGGGCAGGGCAGCCACAGAGGAGGGTTTCAATAAAATCATGTGACAAACAAACGTACTCTATCTCAAGCATCTTTAAGGATGGCAAAAAAACTGCTGGAGGCTTTTCTATGCGGATTCCGTAGTCCAAAGTCAGTGACACGAGGCTGCTGCAAGTGAAGAGAGTGTTAGGCACCACAAAACCCAAATCAAGATTCAGTCGAAGCAGCAGTTCCTCCAGGTTAGGCCCAATGGCGGCTTGGACCCACTTAGCCATTGACTTGGAGTCTGTACTGTTGGCGTAAAAACACGAGAGTCGAAACACTCGAATATCATAACCCTTTCGCAGAGCTAGAAACCGATTCATGAAAACAGCCAAATGCTCGGAATCCTCGCTATAATCGTACGGAAAGTCCAGGACCTGAATATCCTTCCAGATATTGCGCCACCTGCGAGACAAAATGCTCGTAGTCACGCAGATTTTAGTTGGAAGGAATGATAGGATGTGGCATAAGACTGCATCAGGCAGATCACTGATCCTGTCCGTGACGACAGCATTTTCTTCTGCTTTCTGCGGCTTTGAGGTTGGTTTATCCATCTTCAGGAGCAGTCGGAGAGTACCTCCTTTCGAATTCCGCCGACACCATCTGGTGAGGGGCATAAATACCGTAATTTTTGGACTCGCATCCGAACTCTGGCTTAGTCCCATAGACACAACTCAAAGAATCGAGCACGTGGGGATAATGAGAGTATGCAATCTACAACAAATCATGCATTAATATCAATATGAATACAAAAATCTGCGTATTTAGAGAGTTGTTTAGTATTTGACTATTTGTTAATTTTAAGGGTTTTATTAATCTCGTGTTAATGGAGATAAGTTATCTCATGTCATAGAGATAAATTTGTAGCTCCATCACCTGAAAAAATAAAAATAAAAAGAAAAAGAAAAAGAAAAAGAAAAGAAAAGAAAAAGGTGGCACAGTTATCGAGGTGTGTAAGAGAGAATGTAACATGAGAATAGTTTTTCTCTAATTTCAATAAGGGTGTGTAAGAGAGAATGTAACATCAGAATAGTTTTTCTCTAATTTCAATAAGGGATTTGCATTTATCATTTAACATGACACAAGAAAGTTTCTTACACACAACACCGTTTCACTCCGGCGAATGAAAAAACCCTAAAAAATGAGAATGCTAGAAATAGAAAATGAGAAACATAGCCAAATCTTAAAATGTTTTTTTAACTCTTTCTCACCTCAAAAGCGAAAAGCTGGTGCACTTTGAACGTTCTACTGACTTGAACCCAAAACCCTAAAATTTGAGGATGCAAAGAAAAAAATAGGTTTGATGTCACTTATTATTGTGTATTTGGATGGGCTTTTTCTCTAAAAAATGCTTTTTTTTCAGAAAAAATAAAAATAAAAAGAGTTGTGTGATTTTAAGGGGACTGTATTGAATTAGGATTTTAAAAGACTTTTTGTGAGATAAAAAATCCTACAAATTTTAAAAGACTTTTTTTTACAATCAAGATTTCATAAGATTAGATTTTTAAGGATTTTAATAGAATTTATAAGATTTGAAAGGACAATATGGATTTATAAGATTTTAAAAAACCATATGAATTTTTAACAAACATTCAAAAAAAATTACAAGAGTCAATACAAAAGGGAAATGTTATACTTACAACCTATTTTTGTTTACAATATTTTACAACCATATCTTAATCGTTGTTTTCGTCAATCAACAATTATCATTCATTGCAAATTAAATATTAATTAATGAGTTTGATTTGCGAAAATAATAACCATTGATTGACGGGAATCAACGGTTAAGATATGGTTGTAAAATATTGTAAACAAAAATAGGTTGTAAGTGTAATCTTCCCTATAAAAAAAATAACAAAGAAATGCAATGGAATTAATAAAAAAAAAGTAAAACCTAATATAATTTTCTCAATCAATAAAACATATTATAATTTTTAACAAATATTTAAAATTACTAAACAACAGCTTTTCACATATCTAATGGGTTAAAAATTATCTTCTTCATTTGATATCAAAGCAATGCATATATGATTATAAGATCTAATTTTTTAATTATAAAAGTAATTCTAAATTTGCATATAGAACCTAAAGTTCATGATAAATTTTTGTTTGGAATTTTTTGCAATTGATCTTGAAAATCTTGGGATTTTTGGAATTTTCTAACCATATATCATATGCATATTTTCATTGAATATTCTAAGAAATTTTCGAATCTGAAATTTTGGATTTAATTACATGAAAGTTTAGAAAATTTCTCAAATTGTTTTCAATCGATACATTGAAACCTTAAATTGCTTTGAGACTTTTGAGAAACAAGCTTTTAGTTATCTATTGACATAAAAATTGTTTAAAATTGTTTCCTATAGTGAAGGAATTTCATTCACGAATGTATTGTTACGAATATAGGGTTCATATTATGAAAGTTTCAATCTTTCTTTAAATTGTTATTGTTTCATTGATGTAAAACGAAAATTGGTTTGACAGTTTTAGTTTTTCTGTTATTTTTTCACTGTTTTATGTTGTTTTTAATAAAAAAATCACACATTTTTGTGCCAAAAAAAACCGCGACCCATAGCTTGAAAATCACTTTTTAAACTTCCAAAATTTCTCAAAAATATGTTATTTATGAGATAGATTATAATAAAATCTCGTTGGTTTGTTGTTTCTGAGTTGTTTTGTGATGAAAATCGCTCAAAAATATATTATTTTTTTTTAGTTTTGACGAAGCTCCCATGACGGAACCCAATTTCAAACAATCAATGTGCCAAAGGAAAAAAAAATCACTGCAATAGAAGAATCTCAAGAAATCCTAGGAGTTGGGGTGAGATTGTGAGAGAGGCATCCTATTTATATTTTTCACTAAAAAGTCTCACGAAACCCACACCAATAGAAAATCCATTAAAATCGTCAGATTTTTGAATACCACGAGATTGTGATTCTATTGTTTAAAATTCTGATTGAATACCAATGGATTTGGACGGATTCTAAAATAATCCTTTAAAATCCTAATCAAATATCACGTGATTTTTTTTCAATCTATTAAAATCCTAATTGAATACCAATGAATTTTTTTGTCCAAAAATAATCTATTAAAATTCTTTGAAATCTCAATCCAATACACTCGTTAAGAAGGAGAAAAAAAAACAAGTAATAGAAATTATAAGGGAGTAAGTGAGTGTATTTTTTTAAAAAAATTAAAATTTAAATAAAAAATATTAATTTGTGTCTTTCTCTCACTTAAAATATTAATACGTGGCACAATCTCGTTGTCCGATCAGAATTAATATACCAATCACAATATAAAACAGAAAATGAAGGAAAATGACTATTTAATCATTGTACCAATAAAAATTAATGTATCAATCACAATTAGCGTACCAATGAGATTAACTTTTGATTGTACCAACCACAATTAATGTATCAATCACCAATCACTTAGTATGGCCATAACTTTTGATTCGGATATCCAAATAAGATTTTTTTTTTAATTTCACATAACTTTTCGAGATCTACTCAATGACACTTCATTTGACATATTTTATTTATCACAAATATCATTCGAATTTGTAACAATAGTATCACAAACAATTATTGTACTAATCACCAATCATAATTAATGTACCAATCAAAATTTATTGTAATTGGTACATTAATTGTGATTCGTGACTGGTACATTAATTGTGATTGGTGATTGATACATTAATTGTGATTGGTGATTGACACTTTAATTGTGATTAGTACATTAATTAAATAGTCATTTTCTTTCGTTTTTTTTATATTGATTGGTACATTAATTGTGATTGGTAGCTAACTTCGTCCAATCAACTTTTTCTACTAAAATGTTCAATGTGTCATGAAATCATTGGCTACCAAGTTCGCTACCAGTCGCAGCGAACTTGAACACGTTGCAATCAACTTTTCCTACGAAAGTGTGCCACTTATAACAAAATCATTTGCTATGAAGTTCGCTACCAGTCATAGCAAACTTCAATGCGTGCAGTATGATGAATTTTACTTTTCGCATGACAGTTTGGTATGTTAATACCAAAAACATGGCACATTGATCACTGTTCTCACACTTGCCCGGTACAATTGACGTCGTTACCAAAATATCAATAAAATTCATTTAAAAACACAAACTACTTATGTAATTTAATTCATTCAAGATTATTATCATTGGTAATTAACCCATCCTTGAGTTTTTATTTTAACGAGGAAAAAGAGTTAACGAACCTAATACAAAACAACCACATAGTACGTCCATCTCTCTCGATCGCGGCCTGAAGCAAAGCAACAGGGAGAGCAATCTCAAAATCAAATTAATCCGATCAAAATTCCGAGACTACTTTGAAACAATGCTCCGTAAAGGAAATCAAATTCATAGGATAGAAATATGCAGCATGCTCCTGCTTGCGCCTCAAATCTTAGCTACAATAACAGTCAACGATTTCGACAACTTGTTATATTGAAATAACACTAATCTATCTTAAGTAATAATTCTGGAACACAAATATAAACATAAGTGGTTTAATCTTTCATTTAACTTTGCTTTCTTCTAATATGTTTTCTGAACAAGAGTCATTTTCCATAAATAGTTACATAAAAAATTCTCATCGTTCGAACATTTAACGTTCACATAAGACATGCCTTTGGAGAAGTACAGTTTTGGCACAATGAAGAAAATTTTAAAAGTGAAAAAAGCATAGCATTAGATCCTATTATATAACATGATCATATTATATATATTATATTGGAGAATCTAATTATTTATATACAAAAGGTAATAGTGTCGACACTCTATATTTTAATATAGGGGAATAATATTGTGACAACTAAGTTGTGTTACTACCAAGTGACTACCAATCAATCTTATCGTTAGATCGATTATATTGATCCAATGGTTATATTTATTTTCATCTTTGTATGATCATGATTCCACAAATTTAATACTTTGAAAGAGTGCTCTCATCTGTAAATGAAATCAAATTCATAGGATAAATATATGCAACATACTCCCGCCTCAAATCTTAGCTACAATATAAATTGAATAATTCAAAATGATTCTTTAAATTAATTAAAAAATTTGTACTTAACAGTTTCGACAACTTGTTATGTTGAAATAACACTAATCTATCTTAAGTGACCGCCGACCAGGTTGATATTTCTTCCCTACATATTTGAGTGGTGGAAACACAAGGCCAAAAGACAGCATTTCCGTCCCCATTGTACACAAAAATAAAATAAAATAAAATCAATAAATTTAAAACCAAGAGGGGAAGAACTATTTCACTAGGCCAGCAAACAATATTGGCAATAATTTTGAACTTTGTGTACCATGTCCTGATTAAATGTCTACAAAATCATTTAGTGAAGCCGAAATTAAAGCATACGGGAAAACATGATTATGCTAGCTTCAAAAATCATGGCAACGCAAAGGTGCACTAAGGATCACTGTCTCCGAACCTTTCCAATAAAAGTGAGAAGCACTGCAAAACATATAGTGCAAAAAAAGTTCGTCAAGCATATAAAGGACTAGAATTAGTTGGAAAATACA